CTGCGCGGCTCCCCGCGCCCCTTGCGCGCCCTGCTCCTGCGCGCCCGGCCCCAGCATGGAGACGGCAGAGAAGGAGTGCGGCGCCCTGGGCGGGCTCTTCCAGGCCATCGTCAACGACATGAAGGTACCCCCCGAGCGGGCTCCGGGCGCGGGTCCCCTCCGAGGGACGCGTGGCAGGCAGCCGTGTCCTGCTGTGGCCGTGCGGCGCGATGTTCGTGTGTGTGTGTGTGTGTGTGTGTGTGTGTGTGTGTGTGTGTGTGTGTGTGTCCGTGCCCTTGTCTGATCCTGTCCTGCTGCGCCCGCCTTGCATTCAGGTCTCTGGGTGCCTGTCTGGGTCCCAGTAAGGGGGTGAGTGCTCGCAGGTTGGGGTGTCCGTGAGGTCGTTCCATACGATCCCGATCCAAAGCTGAGCACCCGCGAGCTCCCTGTGCCCCAGACCCCTAAGCTATGAATTGGGTTGTCTCCAGGACCGACCCTTAAGTCCCTTTAACGGATGGATACAAGGTTTCTCGGGCCTCCGCCCCCTTCCACCACAATGCCCCCACACACACATACCCCGACGCCCCAAAGCCCAGACAATGCTGTCACCGCCGAGGCAGGAAAAAAATAATAAAGCAAAGAACCGTTAACTCTTTCCCCGCCAGCCTCGGTCTCTGCGTGGACGCAGCCCCACCCCCCACCAACAACCCCAGCAAGCTCCAGTACTCCAGACCTCGGGTGGGGCCATCCCTGCAGCCCAAGGATAGGACTGGGTCCACCTTGGGAGGAGGCAGGGCGAAGGCTCGGTGCTGGTGAAGCACCCCGAGCCAAGGGAAACGTCTTCAGCAACCCCCGCTTCCTGATCACTCAAGGTCAGACTGAGCTGGCACCCCTTTCAGATGGGGAAACTGAGGCCTGGGGATGGCTCAAGGTCATTAAGGAGACCATTAGATCCTGCTTCTGACCTCAGCCCTAATTTAACCAAATTCTCCCTCACCCCAAGAGAGGCCAGCAGTGTCTACAGGACTGCTCCAAACTGACTAGGCAGGGAGAGCCTGGCTTCAGTGGCAGGGTGGGAGTCGAGAGCCAGTGTTCCTGCCCTTCACCATACTCCTTTCTTCGTCTAGGGACAGGATGGGGAAGGAACTAGGCCCCGCACAGAAACTCCTGAGCCTCCCCACTTCCCCCACCTTAGGCTCACACACACACCACCCAGCAGAATCCTACTAGACCCTGGGGGCTACAGAACCCACATACAGCTGCACCCTACCCAAGGGTTTCAGGCAAGTGCTTTAGGAAGGTGGGAGCAGCTTGCAGAGAGGCGAGAGATTGGGGCTCCCTCCCAGTGCTGCTGAGGGAACATCCCCAGTGAGGAGAGGCATATCGTCCAGATCCTTACCCCCTAGAGAGAGGCCCGAACCACACTGGCCTGGGACTGGCCGCTTAGCAGCATGTCAGTGCCTTCCCATAGTTCTGTACTTTCCCCCTGGGATCCCCCTCCCTCCCTGGCAACTCAACCTGAGGGCTCCTTCCCTGGCCCACAGCATTCTCTGCCCATCTTATGAGCGTTATAATCTTGGTGCCACCATCCCTTGCTGGAACTGGGTAACCCAGACCACCACCTCCCCTGGCCACTCGTGGGCTGGCAGAGGGTGGGAGGCGCCGTCACTGCCTCCCACTGGCAGCCACTCGACCAACACTGCAGCAAGCAGTCGCTTCTGCCCAGAAGAAACGGCAGGACGGTGTCCTCCATTTCCGTCCGTTGCGAGGAACTCTGATGAGACACAGGTCCAGTCTCAGCAAGGAGCTCAGGCTAAGTGGCAGGCAAGATTTCTAGATTCGCGGGGGCAGGATGGAAGAGGCTTTAGCAAGTATTGTCACATCACACACGATGTGCCCTTATCAGTGGCATGCATGTGATCAGGGACCCTGGCATGATAGAGGGGACCGGCCACCTCAAGGCTGGCTGACTGGACTTCAGAAAGCCGCTTCAGGCCGTCTCACCCGTGACCAGACTGCCCCGTGAGGCTGATCCTCAGCGAGCCCCCCACAACACTCGCTCTGGAGCTGCTGGAGAGCCCAACCCCGGACTGAGGGATGGCCTGGGAGGGGGTTCCGCCATCATATCTTCAACCTCATGGACAGAGGAGGGCACAAACCCAGCCAGAGGGCCCTGGAGAACTACTTCTGTCTCAAGCCAGAGACTTGAACTCGCCTAGGGCCAGTAGAGGCAATGAGGCCCCCAGCCCACACTGGGCTATCCAGAAAAACGGGCTCGTCCTAATCCAGAATGGGGAGTGTCACGCAGACCCATGGACCCTGGCTGTGGGGGAGGGCTCCTAGCAGAGAGGTGGGGGGGCTCTTGCCCCCTTGGCCAATTTCAGTCTGCGCACAGTAAGTGCCCCCGGGAGCCCACACACACAAGCCCCGTGAGGGAACTGTGTCTCTTCTGATTTTACAGCTGAAGAAACCTGTGGCTTGGGGGGGGGGGATGCATGCCCAGGGAGGGTCACCCCCCAAAGCCACACACTCCCTCTCAGCCACAGCTGCTTCTGTCTCATACCAGTCCCTTGACGGCTCCCTCCACTCCTCCGCTCCAGAGCAGTCCTCATGCGCGTGGTACCTCCTCGTTCTCTCAGTCCCTGTCACCTCCCCACCCAGCAGTGCGTGCAGGTGCTCACCACCCTGCTCCCCTGAAAACAGGAGGATCCCTCTATCTTGATATGTCCGATGTAAGATCAGACCTTGGCCGGGATCCCTGGGGCCTCAGACAAATCAGTTAACCTCACTGATCCTCGTCAGGAAAATGGGCTTCATTCAGGATTCACTCACAGGGTGGTGGAAGATGCATGAGCGTGTGTTGTGAGGACGGAGCCACTGCCTGGCCCAGGACACTTGGCCAGGTGGTACAGTTAGGTGGCTAGTGATGACATGACACACAGGGGCTTAGATCCTGGGCCTGGTGAAGCTGGCACTCTCCCTGGGGCACCTGTCCTTCAAGGCCCTTTCCTCTCTTCTGCCTTTGAGGTCCTTTGTGAACCATGGGGACACAGCGGGAAGAAGCCCATGCCCTTAAAGACTGAGGTGTCCGGATCCATCTTCCGAGGGGAAGCTGGGCTTGCTTCCCCAACACCATGGGTTTTTCCCCACCGTAGGGGACGGCCCAAGGGTTGCTGAGGGGACTAAGCTTGCCTGGGGACCAGGAGAACTGACTGGATGCCCTGCAGTCCAGCATTTCTCCGCACGCAGGAGAGGGGTCCTCGAAGGCTTCCCTGCCAAGTGGCATTCAGGAGATGTCAGAGTACCCCCTCTTGAGAGACCCCTAAAGACCAATGCCCGGATTAGCTCCTGGGGACTGCTAGGGACGACCTCCCGGGCCTATTTATCCAGAGCTGTGTGGTGGGGACAGCCCACCCACAGCCTCCTCGTCCAGCCTCAGTACACTTCTCAAATATTTGCTTTCCCTGACACTGGCGTGACTGGGCAGGGAGAGGGCGCTTTGGAGGGTCTGTGAAGCAGCCCGCCTCCTTGCTGTCCCTGGAGATGCTGGCTAGACCGACCCGGGGGTTCCAGCCAAGCGCGCAGTCCTCCCTAGGCCTTGGGACCTGAGGCTCTACTGTCCCTTTTACCTTGAGAGAAGCCTCGGTCCCAGGAAGCCTAACGTGGGACAGGGACTGGGCCTTTGCTAGCCCTGGGCTACCGTTCAAAGAGCAACGTCTCCCGCAGGGCCCTCCAGG